AGACTTCAACTCCCATGGCTGGCTGGGGAATTCTGGGAGTTGAAGTCTACTCATCTTAAAGTGGCCAAGTTTGGACAACACTGCCTTATACTAAGCATGTTTTGCCAAGGACCACTACATCTACTCATTGCAGAATCAAGCCCAGATCTCCCCAGCCTCATGACCTCCAGATGTTACACCACAACAACTCCCATCTTCCCAGGCTGGCTGGCAAGGGGATAAGAAATGCTCTCCAACCCATCTGGACAGCATGTCCGGAAAGAACTGATAAAGTGATCTCGTTTTTCCTGGGTTGCATCATTACAGTGATGTTGGATGGTGGAACTGATCTGTTTGCTATAGATAGGAAATGGAGATGTTGATTCTGGATTTTGAATGCTGAAACCGCACAAAAGCTGGAGGCTTTAATCCAAATGTTGCATCAGCTCTAATTCAGAAGACAGCCTTCAATCACTCTTTGGCTGGAGTTTGCACAACACCCTTAACTAGTTCAGTTAAAAACCTTGCAGCTGCATTCACACATGCTAAACTGGGTTAGTTTTAGCCTGCATGGCTTGTTTTATGGGATGGGTGATGGCAAACCCAGCCGTTTCACTGGTTTATGATTCAACATAGGGCATGAGTCCAGAAAATGGATTAATTCACTGGCCAATTGAACGTGATGTGTGAATGCAGCCATTTTTCAGTAATCTTATTTGTAAAATATTTGAAGACAGGCTCTGTACCGTTGCACAGATCTTAGCAACATTTTCAACCAATTTTTTTGCAGCCCACTCAACAGACAAAAATCAATGGCATTTTGCAATGGGAAGCCCTGATATTTTGAGGTGGGAGACATAAGCAAATGACTTAAAAGTAGCTTAAAACATTTAAAATAATTGCAACCTGCTGAATGGAAATTCTAGCATTTCCTCCAGTTCATCTTCCTCATCATCTCAACTGCAATCTTTACAATCTATCCAAAATATTACAGGCAGCCTCCAACAAATTTACCAATCACTGTTTTAGATCTTTTTTTTTTAACTTTTAAAAAGAAGAAAGAAACCGGTAGAACCAAGAAAAAGAGATAAAGAAAGTAAAAAAAAAAAAAATTGGACAGCAAAAGCTAATAATATATCAGGAGCACTGGCAGGGAGGTCAAAAAAGTCAAGGCGTTGGCTGCAACTGTGCAATGGAGCCTTTGTCCCTTTTTTACAGCATGTAAAACGTGGCTGGGCTTCTGTCGCGCAATCGGAGCCACCATCTTGACTTTTTTGACCCTCCCAGACACCCCCGGGAATACATTATGCTAGATTAATTAGATCATTCTAGGAATGTCACAAAGCTCTGGAAGGCAAATTACTTTTCCTTATTTTTAATGGCTCCCCCCCACTTACCATTTCACAGGGTGACAATTTCAGGGGTCGATAAGTTGAGATTCCCCCGTTTAGCACCACCAGGAAGAGTAAGAGCTGAAATCTCATGGCTCTGCAGAAAGGGAGAAAGGAGCAGTGGTTAGAGATCAAACTACACAGGGGAAACTCTAGCAGAAAAGTCAAGCCTGGGTGAACGTCAATAGCTGGCGCACGCAGTGGGAATTTCACTAGCATTTGGCAGAGTCCACATCCAGCTGCAGAAGCTGGTCTGGGCTCCAAATGCTTTGCCTAAGGGTGAAGCCAGATGTGGGCTGTTGAGAAGTTCACTGTTTTGCTTGTGCTATCATTTCCACGGATTAGACCCCTACGTTCCATCTCAGCCACTTTTTAAAAACTAAAAGGATCCGTTTCTCGCCCGCCCTTTCTAGCTCTGCCTTCCTCTCTTTCTAGCAAAGGTACCTTATTTAGTGTTTCTCAACCTTGGTCACCTGAAGTTTAAGATCTCTTGAAGTCCAGAGATCTTAAAGTGACCAAGCTTGAGAAACACTGCCTTATCCATTTCCTTTTGGGTTTTTAGAAGTTTGCTAACAACCTGTCGATAGAACCTATCGTCTTGGTGTCCTGGAAGATGCCTAGATGACTCGATACGGGGGCTGTCCTAGCTGGGGATTATGGGAGTGGGAGACCTGCACATTTGGCGACCACCCGCTTGAGAAACACTAAGTCAGTGTTTCTCAACCTTGGCCACTTTAAGATGTGTGGCCAAGGCTGAGAAACCCTGCGCTAGATAACACTGACAGCTAACTCAGATGTTTGTCTGAAAATTAACACAAAGACCCAATCTTCATTTTGGACATGTTTCTCCTGGTATCTCAGCTGTAGAATTGATTTTACAGTGATAAGATTTGTCCGGTAAGAGTTTTGGGTATTAAACACTGTTTCTTCCTCTGTTTTTTTCAATTTCATAACAATGGGATAAGATTGGCCAAGTCCACCCCTGATAGACGTTTTGCATAAAAAAGAAAATGATTTTGTGAGTTATGGTTTTGATGATTCGAAAGAAGAGGTTATAGAAAGAAGGGAATATGATGAAATCTTGGGGAGAGAGGTTTAATTAGAATTGTATGTGTAACTACTGAAAGGAAGATCAGAAGCCACGATAGATAGATAGATAGATAGATAGATAGATAGATAGATAGATAGATAGATAGATAGATA